GGGGGTGGGAGGCGGGGAGGCATGGCTACCAGTGGTCTAAGTAGATGCTACAGCTTCATTCCCCTGTCCCTTCTTTGCTTCAGGATTCAGGTCCCTTAGCCCCTTAGGAAGGGGTAAGGTGGCCTAAAAGGTGATCGCTAGAACCTTTGAAGGTTCCTGGCCAGGGCAACCTGGCCACTTCAGCCCCAATCCTGATTGAGGGGACACACAAAGCTATGTCCCATGTATATCTTTCAGGCTTCTCACCCAGGTTTGGAAAGGTTTAGAACAAGCCCCTCTCCCTTCTTTTCCAGAGGGTGGAGGCAGAAAGGGGTAAGGGGATCCTAGACCCGGGTGGCTTCCTCTCTGCCATCCCATCCTGTATAAGACTTGTCCCTGGAGGTCTGCCCTCACCCTTGGTCCATTATGTTCCCAGGGTCCCTCTTCCCCCACAGAGCAGATGGGCCCAGCTTACCAACTGAGCTGATTATGAGAGATGGGGGGACTGTTGGGAGGCTGGCCCTATTTCCTTATTTCCTGTTCCCGGAGTTTGGGGGGGGGGCAGGTGTCACGTGCCTGATCCATCTGCCTTTGGCTTCCGGGGATTCTCCCTGGCTTCTTCTGGTGATGTCATCATTAACTCTTCCCTCCCCAAGGCAGTTCCTTTGTCAGGCTGGATTGGTGGGAGTAGGCTCTGAAGAGACCTGGCCCATCTCTCCCTTTGCTTGGACTGAGCTATATGGAGTCTTAAGGCTGAAGGAGATAGAAGACTCTCTTCTCACTGGTTTGAGGCCTTGTCCCTTAGCTGCTGGCTCATACCCAGCCTGCTCTAGGGTCTTCTAGCTCCAGGCCAGAATAGCTTACAGTTGGAGTAGAGCAGTGAGGGACAGGCTCTTCACAGTTGGAGAGGAGGTGTCCAGATGAGGGTCTAAGGTCAATCCTCAGAGAGGACTGTTATGGGTATCACCATTACACCATGGGACTTCAGCACTATTGTGCTTAGGGACTAAGGGGCTAAGGGCTTGTTTAACCTTGTGTTCACAGGGCATAGCCAGAGTCTGTATACTGTGTGTGTGTGTGTGTGTGTGTGTGTGTGTACGCTGATGTGTTATGACTAGGTGGTTCCAGTCTACCTGGTGGGCTCTGGTTAGCTCTAGAATACTAGATCTAGGTCCCAGTCCTGCCCATTAGGCAGGGTGTTTTCCTCTCTCAGCCTCAGTTTGCTGGAGTGCCTTTCTGGCAGCAGAGCCCCTAGGGAGGTACGAGAGAGAAACTCTAGCCTGATCTCCAGCTGATCTAGTCATCCATTCTTATTGCAGGGCAACCATTGATGAGGTAGAAACAGATGTGGTTGAGATCGAAGCCAAATTGGACAAGGTAAGGAACAGACCTTGGGATAAATGGAGGGTCCAGGATTTCTCTGTCCACTTCATGCCTAGCCTGTCCTAGGGTATGACACAAGATGTGACACTGCCTGTGATGGGGACAGCTGCTGTGCCAGCTATGTGTGACTGGGGTGGGGGAGGCCAAGGATAAAGGTGGGGAAGGGGAGAGGGAACAGACTTCAGAGCCAGGAGAGGCAGGGGCCATGAGTTCTGTGCTGGCTGGCCCTCTGACCCTATGGGGCCATACTCATTTCAGCCTTAGATCCTCTGCTTGAGGCCTCTCTAGCCTGCTACCCTTTTGCTCCACAGCTGAGGTTCAGATGGCACCAACCTTTCCTTCCGGATGGTCCTCTGTGTACCAGGCAGGTGCTATAGCGATCCATCCCTAGTCCTAGACTGAAGAGGGGCAGCTATGTCTGGATGCTAATGGGTCTGAGTTGAATTCTGGCTGTTCTTGGACCATCCTCACCTTGGTTGGGGGTGCATCCTCTATGGCCTGACCTTGTGGCAGATCTGAGTTGCCAACTTAGAGAAACTATCAGGCCCTCATTTTGCCCACTCTATCCCACCTGCAGTTGGTCAAGCTGTGCAGTGGCATGATCGAGGCTGGCAAAGCCTATGTCACCACCAACAGACTCTTTGTGAGTGGAGTCCGAGACCTGTCCCAGCAATGCCAGGGTGACACTGTCATTTCGGTAAGGGGCCAATGTACCTATGACCTCAAGGTAGGGGTAGGGGAAGGCAGGAAACCCCTGAAGGTTGCCCAGGCCATGAGCAGTGGGTACCTGCCCTCTGCTTCAGGTAGAGCTCTAACCTGTGGGCAGAGAGAAGTCCTTAGGGCTTGAAGTCCTTAGGGCTTGTATTGCCTACATAACTAGTTCATCAGCCCCTACTGCCCATCTCAGCAGGGTCTTACCACATGCTTCTCCCCAGGAATGTCTGCAGAGATTTGGAGACAGCCTACAGGAGATGGTCAACTACCACACGGTGAGCCCCATGGGGCATATGGGGGTCCCCACTTCCATATGAGCCTATACCATGGCTCCTAAAGGTCCTGCCTAGCCCAGAGTAGACCTGAATGGTTCTTAGAGAGCTGAACTGGTAACCATGAGGAAGGAAGATCATGTTATGCTCCTTCAATTAGTAGGAGTGCCAGCTAGTCTGAGTTAGTGCAATATGGGGGGGCACCCCTGGGGGTAGGGCTATCATGCTCCAGGCCTTGGCTAGACTGGATCTTAAGACAGAGAAGGCAGCACACAGCCCAGACCTAAGGACAGCAGTGTCTTGGAGTGAGGAGACCTTGGAAGTTTATCCCAGATCTCAAGCTAGGCAGAGCTCTCCATCTCAGGCCAAACTCTCTGCTATCCAGGCAGGGTCTGGTGGACTCATAAGATCCCAGCAGTGATGTGAATAGACATATAGGACAGGTCGGGGGTGGACTGTGGCCTGGGAACCAGAGACCCAGACTAAACAAGGAGCCCCAACCCCCTACAGAGGAAATTCAGAAATAAATCAACTCAGGATAGCTCATCCTGATGGCTGCTGGTCTGTCTGTCTACTCCTAGTTTGGCCCAGCCCTCCTCCGTGTGGGGCATCTGATTCCCAGTGTCATTGCAAGTCAGGGATGGGAAGGGTGGTACAAAACCGCTCAAGTTTCCAACAATCACCTATGACCTTCCCTGGGCCAGACCCTATGGAGGCTCTCTGCTCTGACAAGTCCTTCCTGTTGCAGATGATTAGCCTTGAAGTGGCCTATGTGTGCCACCCATGCACACTGGGAGTAGAGTTTAGAGGCCTTCCTGCCTGGCTAGAGCCAGGTGGGGACATGGGCAGGTGGCTATAGCTGTCACCTTGGGGCACTAACCCAGGCTGGGGGCTGCTCTCTTTGCCCCAAGAGGCCACCCTGATGTATGATAGGTCCTGTGAGTAGTGTCCTCTGCAGAGACCTGGGGCCTAGGCACAAATGGGCAAGGGTCTCAATTCTCATGAGGGGATGGGAGAGGGCTTTGTCTCTGAAGTCTTATTGGGAGTGACCCCCACAACCCCCATTCTGTTCTGTTCCAGATTCTATTTGACCAGGCTCAGAGGTCTGTGCGGCAGCAACTCCACAACTTTGTCAAAGAGTGAGTGACCAGAGCTGCCAGCCAAGCCCCCAGCCCCATGGCCAAGTACCAGGGAAAAAGTCCAAGGCTGTGTTCCATCTTCAGGATGAGGAGGGCAGGGACTGCCCAGGAGGTCTTGGCCAAGGCCTCAGGTTGTGAGAGGCCTTTGCTCTCTGACAGGAGGTTAAACCAGCACGGACAAAGGCTAGGAGATGGGATAGACAGGGCTGGGAAGAGGAAACAGGGATTCCAGTTTAGCCCCATACCTCAGAGGTAATGCTAGGCTGACTGGGTACATAGGTTTAGAGTCAGGGGTAAGGCTGAGGTCTAGAGTAGACATATCTGAAGAGTAAGGTAGTTCAGGGCAGAGAAGTCCTGGGTCAGGGAGGAGGGAGGAAGCTGGTGGGTGAGGGCCAGGGTAGAGAGGAAAAGAAAAAGACCTTGCTCAGTGAGGGGGTGGCTGGAGGGAAAGTGAGAGAGCCCAGGCCATCTGAAACCTAGTGTGCACTCCTTCTCTTGGCACCTACATTGGCTGGCACCCAGGGATGTGCGGAAGTTCAAGGAGACAAAGAAGCAGTTTGATAAAGTGCGGGAGGACATGGAGTTGTCTTTGGTGAGGAATGCCCAAGCCCCAAGGCACCGGCCCCATGAAGTAGAGGAGGCCACAGGTGCCCTCACCCTCACCCGGAAGTGCTTCCGCCACTTGGCACTGGACTATGTGCTCCAGGTTAGCTGTGGGCAGTGGAGATGTGGCTTCTCCAATGGGGAGGTCTGGAGATGGGCATAGGGGGTGGACACCTTGGTTTTAAAGGCCTTTAGGAATATGGGCAGGGGTAAGAGTTCTTGGCTTCACCCAGATGCAACCCCATATTCAGACAAGGGGAAAGACTCTTCATCTTTATGAAGATGATAGCAGGCAGAGACCTAAAACCACCTGGAGACCTTGGAACTATAAGCAGCCCAACTGCACCCTGGCAAAGTACAGGCCATGGGATTCTGTGCCCTGACACCTCACCTGTTTGCTCTTCCTCTGGCAGATCAATGTCCTCCAAGCCAAGAAGAAGTTTGAGATCTTAGATTCTGTGAGTGCCTGTGTGGGGAGGTACCCCTGGGCATGATCTGGGCAATGGGAGCCAGGCCTCACTTGGGCTCTATTATCACCTGCAGATGCTGTCCTTCATGCATGCCCAGTACAGCTTCTTTCAGCAGGGATATAGCCTCCTACACCAGCTGGACCCCTACATGAAGAAGCTGGCGGCTGAGGTGAGCCTACAGGAGGGGTGAGGTTCCTAGTTAAGGTCTTAGAAAAGGGTCTATTGCCTCCCTAATGTCCCCTTCTCCCAACAGCTGGACCAGCTGGTGATTGACTCTGCAGTGGAAAAACGTGAGATGGAGCGCAAGCATGCTGCCATTCAGCAGCGGGTGAGGCCCTGCAGCCCCATCTACCTGCATTTGGGGGTGGGGTGTCATCAGAGGCCACTGCTTCCTCATCACCACTCAATAACCCTGATCTGGGGAGCCCAGTAGGTACACCCACAGACTGCCCTTCCCAGGCCTGTCCACTTACTGCCTGCTAAAGCTGCTTCACTATGGAATATGCAGCAGAGGGAGGAGCTTGGTGTATGGTAGGGCTGGACCTGGGACCTGAGACCTTACTCTTTAGATACTGTGGGCACCTCTGTGGCTGCAGTTGTGGGTTTCTTCTGGGGCCTTTGTTAAACTGCTGGACAGTGACCCCATCCACCATCCAGGACAGAGATTGGCTACAGGTGGAATAAGAGAACCTGGCATGGAATATGCAGCAGAGGGAGGAGCTTGGTGTATGGTAGGGCTGGACCTGGGACCTGAGACCTTACTCTTTAGATACTGTGGGCACCTCTGTGGCTGCAGTTGTGGGTTTCTTCTGGGGCCTTTGTTAAACTGCTGGACAGTGACCCCATCCACCATCCAGGACAGAGATTGGCTACAGGTGGAATAAGAGAACCTGGCAGT